TGTAAAGTGTTACCAGTCATTTTTATGTCTATATAGTTTTAATAAGTTTTAGTTCATTTAGATTTAGTTATTTTAGTGCTTCAACTTTAAATGAAAATGAGAAATGTTGCCTTGGCAACTAGCTGAAATAAAATGTTTTATTTAATTTTATTTCAGTTAACGTTTTACTTTATTTCAAGTAATGCATTTTTTTATGGTATTAGTTCTAGTTTTAGTTAACGTTAATAACCATGAACCTGTCTGTTATTTTCTTTTGTTGAATATAAAATATGATATTTTGATTGTTTCAACCGCTTTTGTCCATGCAATGAAAGTAAATGGGGTTCAAAACAATAACAACACTGAATCTTACTGACTTTTATTGTATGAATAGATTATTTTGTGTTTAAATAAAACAAAGAAATACAGATCGGTTTGGAACGACGTGTGGGTTAAAATATCTCTTTAAATAGAACATATATAGGTAGATTCTAGGATGTTTCTGTAATAAGACATTTGGATTATAACCCAAAATCCATTGTTTCATAGGAATTTCTCAGTAACTTTGCGATCTGACCTGATCTCAGACAAAAGCAATAGCAGTCCAACTGCTGTGTGAAAAGCAGTAGCTGTCTCACAGATGAAAAAGGACAGACAGAACACACAACATACACAGGTGCTGTCCTCTCTCAGTTGGTCCTCAGTTGATAATCTGTCAAAAACGTTCAAGTAAAGTCAGAAATACAACTAATACATCATATATATATATATACATAAAAAAACAAGTGCATGAAAGTTTAACTGAAGGCATTTGAATATGTTATTGACATTTGGGTGTTTGGATATATCTGAAGAATTCCATTGTGGTTTAAGATCTGATGTCTGCTTTGCATTTCTTATGAATAAGTGAACAGGGCTGAAGGATTAGAGTGACTCTCTCTCCTCTGGTGTTGCTGATGGAAAACTGATAGTCTACACTATTTCAAAGTGGGTGTGTGTGTGTGTGTGTGTGTGTGTGTGTGTATGTGTGTGTAACAGACAGAGTAAGGCTCACGTTCACTGAACTTTTAATGCAGGGTGAAGGTAAACTTTATATCAGAATGATATCTGAGTAAGCATGAGGTAATTTCTGAATATGTCTCACCTCCACTCTGAGTAATATAACGCACCCACGGTAATGCCTGATATCCGCTCTTCTCGATAATCTTCAAGTATCGCACCTGTGTTTGTTACCACACACAAACAAAATGGATTACAAAAATCAATCTACTACATTGTGACCATTATCAAAGACTATTTTGGGGTAAATATGTGTTTTGCCGCACCTGAATGCCTGACACTGTGAAGTAAGGAATCTCAAACTTTACTGTGATTGGTCGCTTGGCCTCGAGTTCACCACTTTCCACACTTGGCAGTCCAAAATGAGCTCGCATCATGAACTCTTTCCCACCCTTCAACAAGTAAAGACACATCATTAGTTTTTGACACATCTAACTGTCTAATTAACACCGCAACAATCATCACTTTAGTCATAAATCCTAATTAACAGTTCAGTTCTAAATAAGCCTTCTGAGTCATATTCAAGTGGGTGATACAAACTTTCCTGTCTCTACAAGGCTTGCAACAGCATAAAACTCCAAAACCGATTCATGGCCTTTCAAGCCTCAAATGCCCATGCCATCATCAGGACTGGAAGAAAACTAAATGTCCCACATGTCTGTATTCTTAGATTTAAAAAAAATTTTTTTTTTTTTTTTTAAATGTTTTAGTTTATTTTTTTCCACTATCTAGACGTTATAATAAGGCATAGAATTCTTAAGTTCAGTACGTCCTGGCTTGTACTATTTTTGATGTCCTATTTCAGACTAAATAAAAAAAGGTTCATTTTTTGGCAAACACTTTATTCCATATATTTTGTATACAAGCTCCTTTGGCAAGCTCTTTATTTTACTCTATATTTTGCATTCAAGCTCTATACTGTTTTTATGGGCTTTTGCCTTTAATTGTTAAAGAAAAGGGAAAGAAAATAAATGAAAATAAACTAAATAAACTAAAAATAAATTAAATTAAAATGTATACATCAAAAATTCAAAAGCAACATAAAAACAAAAACAAAAAAAATTGCAAGCAATATATAAATTGAAAACAAAAATTGCCAGTAATAGCAATATTTTTAGAAGGCTCTTAAAAGTGTGAAGTGGACTTGCATTTGTTGTCTCTGTGAAATCAGCAACAATTTGAAGTGATCGATTATCTAATTTGTTGTTGTTTTTTTTTCATTTCAAAATAGGATTTTCAAAAATCTGAATGTTAGATTAAATAACTTTCCCAAAGATTGACACAAAGATCAAACATCTTGCAAAACATATGTAAAGCATGTATGGTACTTACAGGGAAGGACTTAATGTTCCATTCTACAGCACTCTTCTCAGGAACCCATTTAGCCTGGCCCGTGGTGGTCTTAAATTTGGGGGAGTCAGCGTCACTAGGAACAGGAACTAAGATGGACACATTGTTGGCAGTGGAGCGGCTCTTGAACTGACTGCGGGCCTGGAGAACAGATGGAGGAACTATAGCACAACTACACATTCGAAGTAAAACTTCCAAAGCTACACTTTCAGAAACGAAAGTTTGGGTATGGTAAGGGCAATAGGACAAAGCATGTTTATGTCAGAATCTGACAAGTCTCTTGGACACAGCTCAGGTAAACTTCGAGCCATTCGCCAGGACAGAAGCCTGAAAGCTAATTACTGAAAGCAAGGAGTGTGCTGGAGGAGGCAAAGCAAGAATCAGTGGATTGTGTAGATTGTGTATGTGTGTGCAGCTCTACCTTAACCTTGATCTCTACTCGACTGTGAGAGAACTTCTCTATTATGCTCTCAATCCATATTAGAGGCTTCACCTGTCAGAACAGAGGAGTGGCAGAGAAAAAATAGAACAGTAAATCTACTGCCACTTATTGAGCTACTGACATTTTTTGATAAATAATCTTCTTAAATAAATTAAATACAGTAATACTTCCAACAGCATAACATCATTTTAAAATGCAACATCAATATATAATCCATTATATAGAACATCTACAGGATGTTTGAGTGTGTGTCTGTGTATTATATATATATATATATATATATATGTATGTGTGTGTGTGTGTGTGTGTGTGTGTGTGTGTGTGAATTTATGTTTGAAAGTGACAGTAATGATATTTATAATGTTTAAAAATACTTGTATTTCAATTACTTCGTTCATCAGCTTGGGGTGAGTACGTTTTTGTGTGTGTGCGTCCAATTCATTTCCTCACACTGGAAGTGGAATTTAAATTTAAATGCTTTTCACAGTATGCATAGTATATACTCCAGAAATAATAAGAGCAGTACAGTATGCTAGTATTCTATTCAAAACATAACCATTGTTTCATGTTTTTGTCTTTTAATTTAAAATTCTTTTAATTAAAAATTCTTTGTTTTCTCTGCTTTGAAGTTCTAGTCTTGTTTTCTCATCATATTCCCGTTCTTTGATTCTTGTATGTTTTTATTTAAATAAAGCTCTCTGAGACCCCATCATTACAACGGCACAAAATAAATCTATATTACAAAACTATATTACAAATCGATCACTCATTAAACACATGAATTAATTACATTAACTTTGATGTTTTAAATTACTATGCATTATTAAGACATCAGTCTGCGACAATATATGGCTAATCTCATTGATCGGAGCGTTGTATACATGCAGGCAGCACTGACCGTGGTGTTGAGTCTGTAAGACATTAGTTCAGATTCTCCATCAGGTGGGATGAAAGAGATAGTCCGGTCATTCTCAAAGCGAGAGAGACGCACACACTGATGAAATTTCACATCTTCCAGCTCCACAGACTTGCTCTTCTCCCCTGAGAGAAAGCGAAATGTAAGCCCAGAGAGAGCGGGATGAATTCTAATATAAGAAAAGTGGTCGCTGATGATTAGAATTTGTGTAAAGCTAGTTAATCAAGTTGAAAGCTGCACACACACACACCACATCACACACAGAGCATTCTAAAGTGTTTCCTGGAAATTGCAAACAATAGCACTTCTGTGCACCTAGGTAAGTGTGGAGGTAGTTTATTTGTTTGACCTCAGCAAAGGGAAAGGCAGTGACTACAGAAGAGCTACTTAATGACTCAGGGCCGCTGAGCCCCAAAACCCACTAATACCACAGAGCTGTGGGATTTCAGCAGCACACTCCCAGCAGGAATGTGTGCATGCATGAGCCTCCCTTTATATTTATGAATGTATTCTGCTCTATCCAGGAGTGACATTTACAGTGGAACATGAAAGAGCTCTCGGAGGTTTGAACTGGAACACAGAGGTCAGATCAGAAGCTCTGGATGTCTGTGTCCTCTGCCGCAGATGAGACCTGCTGGGAGCCGCTGCAGCACCTACTGATGACACCAGCCGCAGAGACTAAAGGTCAGAAAGGGGTTAGGATGCTCTCTTATAGCTCTCTGATTGGCTCCCCAGGGTCCACAGGCAGAGGCTTCAGGGAAAGTGATTGGTGTTCAGAAGCAGAGGTACACTTTTAAGTACACATAGTTTGACTCGGCTGTAAAAGCGCTCTAAAGATAGCAAGTTTGCCCTACAATTTATACATTAAATAATGCAATATAATGTTCTGTATAAAATGTATGTAATTATATATATACTCCAGCATTCCTGTGAGTCCTACAGGGGACAGGCAGTTTAGAGAATAGATGTGTGTGTACATATTA